TATACCCCGCTCCATCTCCCCCAGGGGGACTCGGGGCGGCTTACATGAGGCCACGGCCATCAGTACAGTAAAGACAATATAACACAAAAGCATAACAGAATAAAATGCAAAACCAAAATAATAAGCGAGACAGCAGTATAAAATCGGACATTAAACACACAGGATTACATGGGGTGGGGCCAAATTTAAGGATAAAATCAAAAAATTTAAAAACACTGGGAGATTGTGCAATGGAAGTTATTGGGGAGGGAGATCCGGATCGAGGAAGGAATTAATTGTACGAACCATAAATTAAAGTGCTTCTGAGATCATTTGTGCAAAATTTGGTCAGGGAGTCTCTTACATTCAATCATTGAAGGCACATTGGAATAATCAGGTTTTCAGATTCCTCCTGAAGATTGCCAGCGTGGGGCTTGCCTAATATCTCTGGGGAGTGAATTCCAGAGCCTGGGGGCCACCGCAGAGAAGGCCCTTTCTCTCGTCCCCGCCAGTCTAACTTGCTATGCAGGCGGGAGCGAGAGAAGAGCCTCTCCGGAAGATCAAAGAGGTCATGTGGGTTCGTAGACGGAAATGCAGTCGCGCAGGTAGGTGGGTCCCAAACTGGAAGAGTTTGGGACCTGCCTACCTGGAAGAAATACTAGAAGAGTTTGGTTGGCATTGGCCTTGGATTTTGGAGCTTTAGTTCACCTACGTCCAGAGAGCACTGTGGACTCAAATAATGATGGATCTGGAGCAAACTTGGCACAGATACTCAATATGCTCAACTGTGAACACTGGTAGAGTTTGGGGAAAACAGACCTTGACATTTGGGAGTTGTAGTTGCTGGGATTTATAGTTAACCTATTTATTTATTTACTGTATTTGTATACCGCCTTTCTCAGCCTGTAGGCGACTCAAGGGGGTTAACAGGGGAAAATTCAATGCTTACAATGTCATATAATTAAAAACATAACATATAATCAGAGGCGGCCCTAGGTAATTTTCAACGGTAAGCAAACAGTATTTTGGTGCCCCCCCCTCCCCCAACCAATCACTGATATATATATTCTGTTCGTCGTGGGAGTTCTGTGTGCCATATTTGGTTCAATTCCATCATTGGTGGTGTTCAGAATGCTCTTTGATTGTAGGTGAACTATACATCCCAGTAACTACAACTTGCATATGTCAAAGTCTATTTTCCCCCAAGAGCGCCTCAAGAGCGCCCCTGGGCAAAATCAACTATGCTGCAAATGCTTACTTCACGTAATGGGTTGAGCCGCCCCTGCATATAATAAAAAACTAAACAAATCAATAAAATATAAATTCATAGTGTCTCCTTGTTAAAAACGTTGTCCGGACTCATTGTCTAGTCGTTCCATTTTCCTGTGTCAGTTACTCTGCATTTGCAAACGCTTGTTCAAAAAGCCATGTCTTGACTTTTTTCCGGAATGTTAAAAGGGAGGTGGCTGATCTAATATCTATAGGGAGGGCGTTTCACAGCCGAGGGGCCACCACTGAGAAGGCTCTGTCTCTCGTCTCCGCCAAATGTACTTGTGACGAAGGTGGTAATGAGAGCAGGGCCTCTCCAGATGATCCTAAGGTCCTAGATGGTTCATAAGGGGAGATGCATTCAGACATGTAAGTTGGGCCAGAACTGTTTAGGGCATTATAGGCTAAAGCCAGCACTTTGAATTGTGCCTGGTAGCAAACTAGCAGCCAGTGGAGCTGGCGTAACAGAGGAGTTGTACGCTCTCTGAGCGCCGCTCATGTTAGCAATTTGGCTGCCATTCGTTGGACCATTTGAAGCTTCTGGACAGTCTTCAAAGGCAACCCCATGTAGAGCACGTTGCAGTAGTCTATATGGGATGTAACCAGAGCATGGAATACCATAGCCAAGTCAGACTTCCCAAGGTACAGGCACACCTGGCACACAGGTTTTAACTGTGCCAAAGCCCCCCTGGTCATTGCCGAAACCTGGGGTTCCAGGCTCAGCGATGAATCCAGGATCACACCCAACCTACAATCAAAGAGCATCTTGAACTCACCAATGGTAGAATTGGGTCACACAGAACCCCCATGATCAACAGAAAATACTGTGTTTTCTGATGGTCTTTGGCGACCCCTCTGACACCCCCTAGGAACCCCCCCCCCCCGGCATCCCAACCCCAAGATTGAGAAATGCTGGACTACAGGGAACATTATGGGTCAAGATTGTGGTCAATCGAGGCAAAGGGTTACTTAATATAAAGGGACTCACCTTCAAGAACGGGATGACGAAGGGGCGCAAGGGGAAATTGGTGGCTTCTTGGAGTTTGGAGTGGAATTCCTCAATGGTCAGTGTGGAATTCTATGGGGCAAAAAAAGGCAATTGGTGAAAAGGGGGTATCTGGATTATATCAACATCCTGCAGATTATATTTCTGCCTCAATATTTGGCTCATGTTACCCCACTTTAGAGATGTTACTATTGGTTACTCCTTTCTTCCTATAAGAAGCACTGTTTGAATATCGAGTAAAAAATGGGTGCGAGAAATAACATCATACAAAAGCTGACTGGCACAACCTGGGGATCACAACCAGACATAGTGAAGGCATCTGCCCTTGCATTTTGCTACTCTGCTGCTGAATACGCATGCCCAGTGTGGAATATATCTCACTACGTTAAAATAGTGGATGTGGCTCTTAAAGAGACATGCCGCATTATGTCTACACCTTACACCACAGCAGAGCCAACCTTAAGAAATGGGGCCACAAAGTGGAGTCCATGACATGTGAGTGTGGAGAAGAGCAAACCCCAAACCACTGACTACAATGCAGTCTGAGCCCTGCCACATGCACAATGGAGGACCTTCTTAGAGCAACACCAGAGGCACTCAAGTGGTCAAAGAAAATGGAGTATAATGCTAAGTTTTTAACTCTGTTTGTGGTTTTTCTATACATTATAATTGTATTCTGAATCCGCTTCTGACACAATAAATAAATACCACTGGAGAAATTACATTGTTTAGCTGGTATTACACCACTTGACATCCTCTGGGAAATATCAGCCAATAATGAAAGGACCAAGGCAATGACATCTCCAGCCCATCCACTGTTCAGATATCAGCCAGCATGTCAATGCCTTAAATCAAAAAACGGCTTCCTAAGATCTACAGAGATGCTCACAGCAAGCAAGAGCCCAAAAGTGGCAGGCTAAAACCCGGAACCTCAATGAGTGGCTGAGGCCTGATGAGAAACTCCCTTCTGGGAGTGGATGACCTAGAAGGCTTTCAAAAGAGCTCTCAAAAGTATTGACTAGGATTTCTGAATAATGCAGTAAAAATCTCTCCAACCAAAAGAAGACATTGTGAATTGAGGGTTGGTGGTGGCTACCATGTCAGTAAGGTGGCAAATCCATTCTAGGTTTTAGTTCGAACTTTATGGGAACCACCCAAGGAGTTCATTTGTTTGGAGGACAGGACCCAGGGCTTGAAATGTTTTCTTTAAAGGTGAGGATTGACCCAGAGTGGATTTAATGTCAGCTGATATGGGACCTATACTAGAAAGTACAAGATCTGACATGGGATACTATAGAATTGCGGGACTCGCACTGACCACAAGGCCGAGGACCAGGGTGCGGACACGTTCCCCGATTTCTGGAGAGATGTCATTGCCGAATTGCTGCAGTGTGGTGAGGAAGCGCTTGAGTTTGCTGAGCTGCCGGGCGCCGCAAGCTGGAGGGAGTTGATGGTTGGAAAGGGAAGCGGTGGAGGATGTGGCGGGTCCGTTGCTGAAGCCGTTGGGGGTGGAAGGCGCCCCATTGATGGCCGTCGGAGAGTGGCTGCTCCCATTCATTACTGCAAGAGAAGAGAAAGATTTTTTTTTCTGTCAGGAGCGGCTTGAGAAACTGTAAGTCACTTCTGGTGTCAGATAATTGACTGTCTGCAAGGATGTTGCCCAGGGGACGCCCAGATGTTTTACCATCTTGTGGGGGCTTTTCTCATGTCCCCACATGTGAAGCTGAAGCTGACAAACAGGAGCTCACCCCACTCCCCAGATTCAAACCACTAACCGCAGTTCAGCTGGCACAAAGGTTTAACCCCTTGTGCCAAAAAGACCAAGACTTAGAATCAACGAATCCTAGAATTGGAAGGGGCACCCAAAGGTCATCGAGTCCAATCCTTTCAGCTAGGCAGGAAGACACAATCAATGCACTCCCGACAGATTGCTATCCTGCTGGTGTGATGGCAATATTGCTAATAAAGAAGGACAAAAGGGGTCAACATGGATTGCATAGACCAGCATTTCTCAACCTGGGGGTCAGGACCCCTGGGGGGTTGCGAGGGGGGGGGAGTGTCAGAGGCGTCGCCAAAAACCATCAGAAAACACTGTATTTTCTATTAGTTATGGGGGTTCTGTTTGGCCAAATTCTATCATTGGTGGGGTTAAGAATGCTCTTTGATTGTAGGTGAACTATAAATCCCAGCAACTACAACTCCCAAATGCCAAGGTCTATTTCCCCCAAACTTCACCAGTGTTCAAATTAGCCATATTGAGTATTTGTGCTAGGTCTGGTCCAGATCCATCATTGTTTGAGTCCATTGTTGGTGGGGTCCAGAATGCTCTTTGATTGGAGGTGAACTATAACTCCCAGTAACTAAAACTCCCAAGTGACAAAATCAACCCTCCCCCCTCAACCCCACCAGTATTCAAATTTGAGTGTATTGGATATTTGCGCCAAATTTGGTCCAGTGAATGAAAATACATCCTGCATATCAGATATTTCCATTACTATTCATAACAGTACCAACTTTGCTTGCCATAGATGCAGGCGAAACATCAGGAGAGAATGCTTCTAGAACATGGCCATATAGCCCGAAAAATCTACAACAACCCAGTACCAACTTTACAGGGTGGGGGCTGATGTCCTTCCACAGCCGAGGGGCCACCACTGAGAAGGTCCTGTCTCTCGTCCCCACCAACCGAACCTGTGAAGAAGGTGGGACCGAGAGCAAGGCCTCCTCAGAAGATCTTACATTCCTGGATGGTTCACACACTCTCCTCCCTCCAGCCTCACACACTCTCCCTTGCCCAAACATGTGTGAACCATCCAGGTTCACACATGTGAGCATGCCTGCTCTCCCCTCCCCACTTGAAGTCTTGGAAATAGCCCTCCCCTTGGATGAGAGGCCAGCTGAGAGGCCGGCCAATCACAGTGGGGGAAGACTTTTGGTGGGAGGATTTACAGTCTGTTTCCAAAAAGGAAGAGAAGGACAGGTGGAGAGATCTTCAGCCTTTTCTGCCAAAGGGGTTCTAAGACCATCACCAAAGACCATCAGAAATATATATCCGATACACTAAATCCTTTTGTGTTATTGTTTATATGTGATTTATATTAATTGTATTGTTTTTGTTTATTGCTTTTCTGTTTTATTGATGTGTTGTCAGGCTTGGCCTCATGTAAGCTGCTCCGAGTCCCTTGGGGAGATGGTGGCGGGGTATAAATAAAGTTATTATTATTATTATTATTATTATTATTATTATTATTATTATTATATTTTCTGACGGTCTTTGGTGACCCCTCTGAAACCTCCCTTGTGACCCCCCTGGGGTCCCGACCCCCAGGTTGAGAAACACTGAGATTCTAAGCACTTCCAACAGATGGTCAACCAACTTCTGCTTAAAGACCCCTAGAGAAAAAGACTTCATTGCACTCAAAATGCATGTTGGTCGCTTCTGTGGCGAGAAAATCAGCCGTCTATGAAGACGTTGCCCAGGGGACGCCCGGATGTCTTGCAATCCTGTGAGGAGGCTTCTCTCATGTCACCTGGGAAGGAATCCCACTGGAGCATTGCAGCGCACCCAAATACCTGGGAGTCACTCTGGACCGTGCTCTTACCTACAAGAAGCACTGCCTGAACATCAAGCAAAAAGTGGGTGCTAGAAACAATATCATACGAAAGCTGACTGGCACAACCTGGGGATCACAACCAGATACAGTGAAGACATCTGCCCTTGCGCTGTGCTACTCTGCTCCTGAGTATGCATGCCCAGTGTGGAACACATCTCACCACACTAAAACAGTGGATGTGGCTCTTAATGAGACATGCCGCATTATCACGGGGTGTCTGCGCCCTACACCACTGGAGAAATTACACTGCTTAGCCGGTATTGCACCACCTGACATCCGCCGGGAAGTAGCAGCCAATAGTGAAAGGACCAAGGCAGAGACATCTCCAGCTCATCCCTGTTTGGGTATCAGCCAGCACGTCAACGACTTAAATCTAGAAATAGTTTTCTAAGATCTACAGAGACATTCGCTGGAACACCTCAGCAAGCGAGAGTCCAAAAGTGGCAGGCTCAAACCCAGAACCTCAACCAATGGCTGATACCAAATGAGAGACTCCCTCCTGGGCACACAGAAGACTGGGCGACTTGGAAGGCACTGAACAGACTGCGCTCTGGCACCACGAGATGCAGAGCCAACCTTCAGAAGTGGGGCTACAAGGTGGAATCCTCGACATGCGAGTGTGGAGAAGAGCAAACCACTGACCACCTGCTGCAATGCAACCTGAGCCCTGCCACATGCACAATGGAGGACCTTCTTGCAGCAACACCGGAAGCACTCCAAGTGGCCAGATACTGGTCAAAGGACATTTAAACAACTACCAAACTCACAAGTTTTGTATTTGTCTGTTTGTTTGCTTTGTTCTGTTGGAAATGTAATATAATGGACTGGTTACTCTGACATGACAAATAAAAATAACTCAAAATGCAAGAGCTTGAAGGGGCACCCAAGAGCCATCTAGTCCGACCTCTTTCTGCCACTCAATTGCTTTTATTATTAGACAGTCTGCAGAAAGGATCAAACTTTTACAACCTTAGGTTCACCCATCATTGCTATACAAAGCTTTGAATCGGTTATAAGCAACTTGTTATTGTACATAATATAAAAACAAGCACGTCTAATATTGGCATTTGTGCATGCCTATCTTTACGCTACCAACATCAGAGCAAAAATTGTATTGAAAATTTTGGGTCGGGTTTGGCGCACCTCAAACTCGACCCCATTCCCTATATTTTGGAGAGGAAACTACAAATCCCTGCACCCTTCTTGGGGAAAAGTCAAGTATCCCAGGCTCTTGCAAAGGCCTTTGAGAGCATGCCAAGCTTTCACCCCAAAGGCAACTCAATCCCTATGTTTTGGAGAGGAACCTACACATGCAAGCATCCTTCTTTGAAGGGGAAAGAGCCAAGCACCCTTTGCTCTTAAGGCCATGCCACACTTTTTGAGACCTCCTCCTTACTCCTACCTTCTGGCAGTGTTTCTTTGCTTTGTCCCAGGTGCTTGTTTTGAAAGCGACAGCCTCTCTCCAGGATTTTGGGGCCGTTTCCCCGGGTCTCCGGCTTGGTCTGTCCGGCCGGACGGGGAGACGCTTCTCGCTAAAGAGGCGCCCAAAATAACCGCCTGCCCACAACTGCTTTTATTCCAGTGACAGGTGTGTTACTAAGTTAGACTCGCACACTTGTCTCTGACGTTTTGGGGACGGAGGAGGCTGCACTGGGGTCGGAGGGTCCCCTTCGACTGTTTGGAGGAAGGGGTCGTTTGGGAAAACATGGGGCTAAACCAGGCATGGGCAAACTTTGGCCTTCCCTCCAGGTGTTTTGGACTTCAACTCCCACCATTCCGAACAGCCTCAGGTCCTTTCCTTTTCCCCCTCAGCCGCTTAAGCGGCTGAGGGGGAAAAGGAAGGGGCCTGAGGCTGTTCGGAATGATGGGAATTGAAGTTCAAAACACTCAGAGGGCCCAAGTTTGTCCATGTCTAGGCAAAACCATGGCACGTGGCATGGAAGGTGACTCCGGTCCTAGATCTATATAGTAAAGATTGCAGGAGCTCAGCCTGTGATTGGGTTTCAGGATCAGGGTGCTTTGGATGTGGGGAGTGATGTCAATGAGTTTCAAGATGGCAATGGTTTGGTCAATGATATTGATGCAGAGAATGACCAGGAGATCCCTATTCAAAGTGTAGTTTCCCATGAGAATGTCCTTGAAGGGTGTGGGGATGATGGTGTGCTCCCTAAATTGCTACCAGAGAGTTCCCATGATTTGTATCTTGAAATCAGCTCAGCACCTGGCCCAGTTGCAGAAATTAATGAGCAAATAGACGGGAGGAGATCAGTCAAAACAGAAAAGCCAAACAGTTGCTTCGGCATTCTGCCAGGCTCCGAGAGAAAAAGATAAGAGATTCGCAGCCAAAGCGAAACCAGTTTCTAAGCGCTAGAGACATAGCTAATGAGGAGATAAAAGTCCCAAGTAAAGGATATGTAGTCAGATGAAGCATCATTTGGAATCAAGTTAAGATCTCGTCCTTGTTTCATGGAAGCTTTGCTTGGAAAATCCATGTTTAAGTGCCTTTCGTTTCATGGTTTTGATTATTGGATTCTATGATTTTATATTCATGCCTTGGATGCATGTTTCCTGATTTCTTGCATTTTATTTGGGAAGTTTTGACTTTGTTTTTATGGACTTTGCTGGACTATTACCCTGAGCTACTTTGTTCCTGCTTATCTTTTTACCTAATTGGACTTTACCTATTCCTTTAAAGTGCTTTTTTACTTTACTGCTTTTTAATTATCTTCAATAAAAGGATTGCTTTCCTACTCAATGATGTGGTGTTTAAAGTCAGAGGGCTTTTCCTGTTCTGGCGTGCAACAATATGGCTGCATGGCAAATGTGTAAGATGGGGATTGTCGGACAATAGTGTTTGCCACCTGCATAAACGCTGTGTCCCGTCTGCAAAAATTAGGCAACCAGAATGAAGCAAAATACAAGAAAGCGGCATCCCTGACTTGCTTCATCAGCATGGTTTTTTCATAAACTATTTCAATGTTGGGTTGTCATGTTTAAAAGGGGCCGGGCTTTAGCGCAGCTGGTTAATCACCAGTAACAATACAAGGTTAGCAGTTCGAAGCCTGTGTTGGGGTGACCACCCAACCTTCAGCCCAGCTTACTGTACACCTAAGCAGTTCAAAAATGGCTGTGAGCAGGCATCACTTAAGCAGGGAGGTATTTTAAAGTACTATAAAAGAAATTCCAGAAAAATGCGGGCAACCAAAGAAAAAAGGAAGGCTGTGATCAAGACTCTTCATCATAGAGGATGGAGCGACAGCACTCCCCTGTGGCCGGAATCGAGCACAACCTCCAGGATGCCAAAGCCGACATAATATCTCTATCTGTTGTCTGTCCTGTCTGCTTGATGGCATTGAATGTTTGCCGTGCATGTGTTCTGTGATCCGCCCTGAGTCCCCTTCAGGGTGAGAAGGGCGGAATATAAATACTGTAAATAAAATTATTTATTTACGACATTTATATGCTGCCCTTTTTACCCTGAAGGGGACTTGGAGTGGTTTACAAGATATATACAGACAATATATTAAATTTATTATAATATTATTAATTTATTAATATAATATTATTAATAAATATATTAAATTTATTAAATAAATAAATAAAAACAATGTTTGACTATTATAAAATGTGCAGCAGTTCATTTTATTGATTAGCTCATTGGCCGTATCGAAACACTTGACAAACATGCTTGACACATACTCACACAGCATACAACCCATATTATTCAGTGGAAGATTTACTTTTATACTGCAAGGTTACACAAAGAGGTGTGCGTGTATGTATGAGCCCCCAGAGGCACAGTGTGTTAAACCACTGAGCTGCTGAACTTGATGACCAAAAGGGCGGTGGTTCAAATCCGAGGAATGGGGTGAGCTCCTGTTGTTAGCCCCAGCTTCTGCCAAAGTAGCAGTTTGAATTTGAGTAGATCAATAGGTACCACTCCAGCAGGAAGGTAACTGTGCTCCGTGCAGTCATGCTGCCCAAATGACCTTGGAGATGTCTATTGACAATGCCACTCTTTGGCTTAGAAATGGAGATGAGCACCACCCCCAGAGTTGGATACGACTAGACTTAATGTCAAGGTTTCCTTTACCCTTACTATCTTTCCTATAACAGCATCAGAGCAAAATCTGCAGCTAATTGTAATAGCAGGGAGTGTGAATTTTTCCACATAAGTGAAGATCTTTCACCCAGAGGTCATGAGGTCTGTGGCTAATGGGGTCTGTGACAGTTATGACTTATTCTGAGCTAGTCTGAACAAGAACAAAAAATAAAAGTCATTTTTTTTCTCTGTGTGGCCTCCGTTTTAAGCTGTATAGCAAGGCCCCTCGCATTGGATATTGCAGAGACTTGCATATAGTGCGCTAACACAGAAATGTGCACGCAGCGCCACCTTAAAAGGCTCCTTGGATGTTCGGACCAAAGCCTGGACTGGGTGCAGCACTCTCATGGGCCATCCCTCCTGCACTCAGGGCATCCCTACGGAAACGGACCCGCATCCCGCCTCTGCATCTCTCTCTTTCTCTCTTGTTGGCAAAGGCACGTTTCATCTTACTTACAGAGACACACCATGGACCATTTCAAGCAACCATGAAAACGGCCGCGGGGCAGAAACATCGGCAGCCCAGCATCTCGATCTGTAAGCAAAATAAAACATAGACGCCATCAGGAGAGACCAGAGGCGGGAGGGAGGCACTTTTCTAAGACCCTGAGCGGTTCGGGACTGGACGAGGTTGCCCTTTCCTAAGGGACAACATGGGGAAAACACCCTGCAAAATCCTCCTCCCGCTATTTTCTCAGCCATGCAGTGCAATGCCTCCGTTGAGGCCCATTTGCTCCAGAGTAGTGCCATAGATTGCAATTCACTTTGAACATGGCAATTTTGGTCTAGCTTCATTGGAAGTCTCAGCTTTGGAAACGGTCACTCTTTGGAGGAGAAAAAAGCCACCTCCTTTCTACTTCTCTCCAGGATCTATTGCAGTGTTTCCCAACTTGGGGGGTCGGGACCCCTGGGGGGTTGCGAGGGGGTGTCAGAGGGGTCTCTAAAAACCATCAGAAAACACTGTATTTTCTATTAGTCATGGGGGTTCTCTTTGGCCCAATTCTATCATTGGTGGTGTTAAGAATGCTCTTTGATTGTAGGTGAACTATAAATCCCAGCAACTACAACTCCCAAATGCCAAGGTCTATTTTCCCCAACCTTTCCCAGTGTTCAAATTTAGCCATATTGAGTATTTGTGCCAAGTCTGGACCAGATCCATCATTGTTTGAGTCCTTAGTGCTTTCTGTATGTAGGCGAGCTACAACTCCAAAACTCAAGGTCAGTGCCCACCAAATCCTTCCAATATTTTCTGTTGCTCATGGGAGTTCTGTGTGCCAAGTTTGGCCCAATTCCATCATTGGTGGAGTTCAGAATACCGTGTGTCAAGTTTGGCCCAATTCTATCATTGGTGGGGTTAAGAATTGTCTTTGATTGTAGGTGAACTATAAATTCCAGCAACTACAATTCCCAAATGCCAAGGTCTATTTTCCTCAAATTTCACCAGTGTTCAAATTTCGCCATATTGAGTATTTGTGCCAAGTCTGGTCCAGATCCATTATTGTTTGAGTCCTCAGTGCTTTATGCATGTAGGTGAGCTACAACACCAAAACTCAACGTCAGTGCCCACCAAACTTTTCCAGTATTTTCTATTGGTTATGGGAGTTCTCTGGCTGAGAACAGCGGTATATAAGTAAAGTAAAGTAAATAAAGTTCTGTGTGCCAAGTTTGGTTCAATTCCATCACTGGTGGAGTTCAGAATGCTCTTTGATTGTAGGTGAACTATAAATCCTAGCAACTACAACTCCCAAATGACAAAATAATTTCCCCCCAACCCCACCACTATTCAAATTTGGACGTATCAGGTATTTGTGCCAAATTTGGTCCAGTGAATGAAAATACATCCTGCATATCAGATATTTACATGATGATTCCTAACAGTAGCAACATTACAGTTATGAAGTAGCAATGAAAATAATGTTATGGTTGGGGGACAACACAACATGAAGAACTGTATTAAGGGGTCACGACATTAGGAAGGTTGAGATAGACTGATCTATTGGCACACAGGCGCTTCTGTTTCCCCCAAGGTCATCCAAGCATGGCAGTTTTGAAAGTCAGAGATCTCCCAGGAATGATTCTCCCTCATTTTCCTCAATTATCAAAGTGCCCTACCCCACATAAGAGGTTTCCTCCCAAAGCAAGGTAAGATCAGCCGGATAGCAACATTCACTTGACTCCTGCAAAAATGTCACCTTCCTCGTCAATCCATCTCAATGATGCGGCCTGGAAGCATTTAAAGCGCTTAGAGGATTGGGAAAGGAGCCGGATTGCAAGCTGCGACTTTGACACTTAATTCGAGGAGATATTAGCAAACAGCTGGCGGCGTGGCCCTAAGAGCCCGGATAAGATGCTCAGCCTAAAGCGAGGGCTTCTCTAAACCCACATCCCAGGGAGTTTGGTGTCCCAACCCTAAAAGAGGATGGAACAGGGACGTTTGGGGATCTTCTGCGGTCAAAGGGCAGCAGCAGTTTTTAAATCCAGGCTAGAACTCCATAGCATTGAGCCATGGATGCATCTTTCTGCCAAAACGCAGAGGAAAGCAATGGCACCCCAAATAAGAATTCTTCTGCAAATCTCCCTCTCTTCCCCAAATGTCTAGAATTGCAATTCATTAAAATCTCAATTCAGGCATCTAAAGGAAAAAGCAAGGAAAGAAATACCAAGAGAAAGCAAAAGCAAACTAGTAAACAGAAGAGTTCTGCATGCAAAGGATTTTCAAAATCTCACTCTCTGCAAGCCAGGATGGGAATTATAGTTAAATTCTCTATCTCATCCACCATCTAAACTTTGAAAGCGAAATAATTTGGAACTATAGCTACAAGGGCTATACCGCTGAGCTGCTGAACTTGCTGACTAAAAGGTTGGCGGTTCGAATCCAGGGAGTGGGGTGAGCTCCCGCTATTAGCCACAACTCCTGCCAACCTAGCAGTTCAAAAACATGCAAATGATAGTATTTATTTATTTTGTATCAAAAACATTGCATAAATTAGTATAAAACTGATAAAAATAGAAGGACCACAAACAGCTAAATATCTTTTGACCAAAAGTGGGCAACAGCAACCGAGTTATCTGTAGCATCCAACCAGGCCCGTAGCCAGGATTTTGTTTCGAGGGGGGGCTGAATTTGGGGGGGGGTTTCGGGGGGGCTGAGTTTTGGGGGGGGGGCTGAGTCTGAGTGAAAGAGGGTCTAGCCTAGCAAACCTTTTGTATCATTACCCCAATACCCCCATGCATATGGGATATATTGAGTATGGTGATCAGATCATGATATGAATAAACATAACAGTTTAAATAATGTACCAGTAAGGCCTTTTCGCGAACCACCATGAGAATTTCGGGGGGGGGGGGGCTGAAGCCCCTCAAGCCCCCCCCCCCCGGCTACATGCCTGCATCCAACAATTCTTCCTCTGTACACGAGGCAGGACATGGCAGACAAGCATACAGATGCAATGTTGTCTGTTCTGCTCCACAGTCACACAAGGTGGAGGAATCTTTTAGGTTGTGCCATTTTGCCACGTTATCTGAGAATGGATCAATAGGGTCCATTCTTCCTTCTGCGAGAAGGTAATGGCGCTCCACGCAGTCATGCCGACCATATGACCTTGGAGGTGTCTACGGACAACGCCGGCTCTTCGGCTTAGAAATAGAGATGAGCACCAACCAACAGAGTCGGACACAACTAGACTTAATGTCAGGGGAAACCTTTATCTTTTTACAGCATGCTTGTCAATGGATTCTGGGAACTGTAGTACAAAAAAGTGGAAATGACCTCCTCCAAAGCACCAAGGCTTTGCTCCAGAGCTTGATTTCTATTTCAATCACACTTAAGGGACTTTTACACAAAGGCCTTGACTTGAGTGAAGCTTCCTCTGAGCACAAGCAGAGTGTTTTCTCCCCACGACCACCTGCGCCTGTTTGAGACCCAGGTTCTAACAAGGTTTGGGCCTCCCATTCTGGAAGCCAGTCCTAAGCAGCAGTTGTTGATTTCATGGTCTGTTTGGACCACTGTCACCCGCCTCAGAAGTAATCGCTGCCAGGGTCAGGCCGTCCTCCCACTTCCCCACTTTGCAATCTGCTCCGAGCGATGCTTTCCAACCCTGCAACAGCTTGCACGGAGAGAGAGAGGGAGAGAAACGGAGAGAGCTGGCACCCGCAGAAGCAAGCGCTACCCACGGTCGGTCGTTGGGCGGGAGGAGGGCTGCCGCTTTCCTGGCTCTGCAAATGCGATGCCATATGGCACCAGCATTCGCTCGAAAGCAGCCGCAGCGGCAGCAGGACGAAGACGAGGCGATGAGAGACACATGCGGAGGTGGACGCCATCCAAGCCCACCCGGCCTGGCATTCGAAGCAGCTCCGGGTTTGGGGAGAACCGGAACCGGCACAGCATGCCAGTGGGTGGCATGACATTTTAAGGCTGTGTGTGTGTACTGGGACAGATAAGCCTGTGGATAAAACTGGGTACCAGCTTGGATCAGTAGAATCCTCTCTAAAACATGAGGAATGGGTTACGTTTGGGGTGTGCCAGTCCTTTGAAAGTCTGGCATGATCTCCAAAGACTTCTCAACCTCTTGATGTGCTCGATATGTGCCCCAAAGAAGAACGCTTGAGTTTGTAGGTTCCTCTCCAAAACATGAATCCAAGTTTTGAGAGTTCCAGCTTGGATTCATAGGTTCCTCTCCAAAACATGGTGAGTAGGTTGAGTTTAGGGGTGGGACAGTTTGGATAAGTAGTTTTCACACCAAAATATGGATAATAGGTTTGGGGAATGCCACCTTGGATTGGTGGATTCTCATCCAAAACATGAGGAATGGGTTGAGTTTGGAGCATGCCACTCCTATGAAAGTCTGGCATGATCTCCAAAGCCTTTTCAACCTCTTGGTGTGCTTGATTTGTGACCCAAAGAAGAATGCTTGAGTTTGTAGATTCCTCTCCAAAACATGGGGAAAGGATTCATTTTGAGAGTTTAAGCTTGGAATCATAGTTTCCTCTCCAAAACATGGGGAGTAGGTTGAGTTTTGGGGTGGGACAGCTTAGATCAGTAGGTTCTTCTCCAAAATATGGATAATAGGTTTGGAACATGCCGCCTTGGATTGGTGAGTTCTCATCCAAAACACGAGGAATGGTTTGAGTTTGGAGCATGATCTCTAAACTCAACCCATTCCTGGCATGATCTCCAAGGCCTTCTCCAGAGCTTGGGGTGTTTGATTTCCCCCTAGAAAGAGGGTTGGATTGGTACGTTCCTCTTCAAAACATGGGGAAGTTCCAACTTGAATTCATAGTTTTGGGGTGGGACAGCTTGGACTAGTAGGTTCTTCTCCAAAATATGGATAATAGGTTTGGAGTATGACACCTTGGACTGGTGGATTCTCCTCCAAAACATGGGAAATGGGTTGAAATTGGAGCCTGCCAGTCCTATGAAAGTCTGGCATGATCTCCAAGGTCTCCAGAGCTTGGGTGCTTGATTTTCCCCCAAGGAGGAGACTTGGATTGGTACATTCCTCTCCAAAACATGGGGAGTAGGTTGAGTTTTGGGGTGGGACAGCTTGAATCAGTAGGGTCTTCTCCAAAATATGGGGGATGGGTTGTGTTTGGAGCATGCCACCTTGGATTGGATGGGCTCTCATCCAAAACATGGGGAATAGGTTGAGTTTGGAGCATGCTGGTCTGTTGAAGGTCGTGCATGATCACCAATGCCTTCTCAAGAGCTTGGGGTGCTTGATTTCCACCGCAAGATGGACGCCATTCCAGCTTGGTTTCATAGGTTAATCTCCGAAACAGAGAGAAGGGATAGAGTTTGGGCTGTGCCAGCTGCCCATCTAGTTCCCAAAGAGAGTTTTCTGTGCATTCATCGTTCCGCATGGCCTTAGTGTTACAGGAACCTGCAACTTCAGTGTGCAACCAAATGCAAACTTGCATTAAGTTCGAACACCATAAATCTCAACCTGGAAAGATGCACATTCATATGGACATGGTGTTTCATTGACCAACAACCTCAATATGCAACTAAATAGCCACGCATATCCATGGGCCGTGTATTGTATACCCATGTGTTTCGATGAGCTGTATGTATCCATGTGCCTTGAGCATCCATATGTTCCTATGAGCCATGTATATCCACATTTATTTATCGGCGGTACAAACCTCCATGCCCAGAGACACTGTTTTTGGTAAGCTTGAACTGAAGAAGGGCAGACAACAATGCCTTAGGAGAAGTTGTGCATGTGTAAAACACCAAAATAATTTCAGCCAAAAGCAGCCAACTTGGGCCATCTGGATCCACTGTCCTGAACGGGCATTTATTCAGAATGGTATGCCAAAGCAGGATTGCAGGACATTGCACATCACTTTCCACCCCTGTCCCCGTTCTTTGTTGGCTCCCAATATTTGATACATATTTGGCTACTTACTGGGGTTTGGCGTAAAGGTGGGGTGCCGCGTGGCTCCTTGTGAGGCCGCCGGTGAAGGCGGGGGCATATTGGGTGGTGTGGACCGCGTCGGCGTCTTCACATCGGCCGGCGAGTCTGGCATGGTGGCTGCGTGGTTCTCCAAACTACCTGCAAAGGGAAAGGAAAGGGAAAGTGGAAGAAAGAGAAGGAAGGGAAGGAAGGGAAGAAAGAAGAAAGGGAGGGAGGGAGAAAAGAGAGGTCAGGACACTGAAATACCAAGGTAATACCTAAGCAGGGAGTTTGGTATAATAATACAGAAATGGGACAAAATCATAAGGCATTGATGCCACCTTTTCATGTGCTTTGTTCCCCAGCTGGGCAGAATAACAACAACAACAACAACAACAACAACAACAACAACAACAACAACAAAACAACAACGTTAATGCATTGCATTAAAAGGGGGGGGGGGAACTCACAAAGTATTGATGCCATATTTTCATGGACCTTGTTTTCTAGTTGGGCAGAACTATTATTGTTACGAGGGGTGTTCATTAAAGATTTCCCCTGACCCACTTCTATTGATCACAGGATGCTGAAACTGCCCATGGGTAATGATGTAAGTCTCTCTAGGTGACATGGAAGTGGTGTGAGATTTGTGAATGGACCCAGTGGAATGCAGAGCAGTTCCCAAGGTCCTTGACTTGAAAGGCCGCACACCAAAGGAGGCATTCAATTAAATTAAAAAGGTTTATGGTGATGATTCCCCATCATAGGATGGAGTCAACAACTGGCATCCTCAATTCCAATGTGGTCGGACTTCGGTGGAAATAGCTCCATTCCAGGGCGATCCCACTCTGCTCTTGACGAACATACCATCCAGCAAGTGGTGGTTGCCATTTTGGGAAATTGCTACGTAACCATTAGCCACCTAGCCCAAAATGTCAAGATGAGTGTTGGGTCCATGGAAAAAATCACCCAGACCATCTTCACATGCATAAAGTATCCGCTCACTGGGTCCCCCGGCTGCTCACACCTTTCCAGAAGCAGGAACGAGCAGAATGCCCTCAGCCTCTCTTGACAATGATGTGCCAGGGAAACCAGGAGGACTTTTTCAACAGACAGATCATACAGGATTAAAGCTGGGTCTATCACTCTGATCCTGAGACTCAAGTCCAGTCGATGCAATGGAAGCATCCTGACCCACCGCCTCCAAAGAAGGCACCTGCCCAACTCTCGACAGGCAAGGTCATGATCACAGTATTTTGGGACCAGCATGGAGTAGGATGGATGGATTTCCTAGCAAACGGGACCATGATCACTGGGGCAGACAAGGCTTCACTGCTGCGGAAATTGTGGGAGGCCATAAAAACCAAGTGACAACGTGGCATGCTCCCCAAAGATGTCTGCCTTCTGCAAGACAATGCGCCAGTCCACAACTCACCGGTTGCCCAATTGGAAGAAGCATGTTCCAGTGGCTTTGAAATTTGACTGCATCCCCCTTATTCACCCAACCTCACACCATTGGTCTTCCCCCTCTTTCCAACAAGGAAGGTATTATTGAAGGGCAAGCCTTTTTCAGGTGATGAGACTCTGAATTCTGAAGCCACAATGTGGCTTTTGGAGCAACCTATTGACTTCTACAAGCAAGGTGTTTACAGTTGCTTCAAAAGATGGGAGAAGTATGTGTCCCGAGGTGGCATAGATGGAGAGAAGGACTCAGAACTGGGCCAAGTTTCATTGCTCTCAATCTACAAGAAGGGGTCAGAGGAAATCTTTCATGAGCACCCCTCGTATTATTTACATGTACATAACAACAGAGCACACATGCACATTAGGTCCAAGTGTCTGGGATTTGTCTCTGAATATTGGGCTCTTCCCAAGGGCCTGGGATATTAGACTTATTATTATTATCATTATTATTATTATTATTATTATTATTATTATTATTATTATTATTTGAAACACAACAAGATGAGTCCACAACAGACAGTCTGCTGGCTGTTGTATTGGATCACACATCGGACACTTCCCAAGTGTCTAGGACTATTATTATTATTATTATTATTTCTGGGATATTTGATGAAATAATATGATTGGGATTTTTAAAAATGAGAGAAAATCACATGACATTGATGCCACCCTTTCAATATGGTTTGTTTTCAAGCCAGGTGGAACTTATTATTATCATCATCATCATCATCATCATCATCATCATCATCATCGTCACCGTCATCCCACTTCTTTCTCTTGACCAAGATACAAACATTGAAACCACACTGAAACAAAACACAACAACCATGTTGAAACAAAACACTACAACACAGAACCATGGGAGTCCAAGTAGTGTCAAACTGCATTAACTCTAGTGTAGATAGACACACCTTCAGCATGGTAGTCCAAAAACAAAGTCCCAATGCATCGATGCATTGCAGTCCCGAAGGAACTTTACCCAAAGCTTTGATCTTGCTTCCCAAAAATGGATACAAACAAGGCATTTCCGCAACACATTCATCCCGATATTATTCCTCCCAGGACCAATAGTCCATGATACACTCCTCCTGAAGCTGGAGGATCGATACTGGCACTAAAGTGTACATTATCATAGACTGACATAAAGATGGATGGAGTGAGAGACGCAGGGGGGGGGGGGGTTGAAGGTGCCAAAGGGCATCAACGAGGGCAGCTGCCCAATATATACAGAGGCACCTGCTGCTCAGTTTTTCTCCTCCTCGGCTCCGTCGGAGGGGATGCATGCGAGATTGATGGACGGGCGCAAGTGCACATCAGCTGTGGAACTCCATCACTGAGCCTGGCGGGCGGCTGAGCATTGTGCCAAGACCCCGATGCGAACCAAAGAAGGAAAGCGACCCCATTTGTTGCTCCTGTTTGGGGTCACCCAGCGTCTCCTCAAAAGAGACACCATCATTATCACTTCAACTGTTGCAGAGCAGAGAAGGTGCATCTATACCAGGCATGGGCAAGCTTTGGCCCTCCAGGTGTTTTGGACTTCAACTCCCATAATTCCTAACAGTCTCAGGCCCTTTCCTTTTCCCCCTCAGCTGCTTCAGCGGCTGAGAGGGAAAAGGAAGGAGCCTGAGGCTGTTAAATGGATTATAAGGCAGTGTAGACGAGGCATGGGCAAACTTTTAAATTTGGGGGTCACATGCTAACACCCCCTAGCAGGAGGACTGGCTGCCTAGTGATGGAAGGAAGGAAGGAAGGAAGGAAGGAAGGGAGGGGGAGGGAGGGAGGGAGGGAGGGAGGAAGGAAGGGAAGGACAAAGGAAAGAGAGAAGAAGAGAGGCGAAAGGGAGGAAGGGAAGGAGGAAGGAAGAAAAGGGAAGGAAGGAAAAAGAGAAGGGAGGGAGGAAGAGAAGAATGGAAGGAAAGAAAGGAAGAATAAAGGAAAGAGAAGGAATTAAAGAAAAAAGAGAAGGACGGAAGGAAGGAGAAAGAGGGATAGAAGGAGGAAAGAGAGGTGAAAGGAAGGAAAAAGGATGGAAGGAAAGGATGGAAGGAGAAAGAGGGAGAGAGGGAAGGAAGGAAGGAAGAGGGAAGGAAGGAAAGACAAAAGGGAAGAAAGGAAAAAACAGAAGGAAAGGAGGGAGGGAGGGAAGGATAGAGAATAGAGAGAAGGAAGGAAAGACAAAAGAGAAGGGCAGAAGGAAGAAGAAAGAGGGAGAGAGAGAAGCAGAGAAGGAAGAGGAAAGGTAGGAAAGACAAAATCGAAGGAAGGAAGAAAAAGGGAAGGAAAGAAGGAAGGAGGAAGGAAGGGAGGACAGAAGAGAAGGATAAAGGATAGAGAGAAGGAAGGAAAGACAAAAGAGAAGGGCGGAAGGAAGGAGAAAGAGGGAGAGAGGGAGGAAAGAGAGAAGAAAGGAAGGAAAAGGGTGGAAGGGAAGGATGGAAAGAGAAAGAGGAAGAAAGGGAAGGAGGGAAGGGAGAAGGAAGGAAAGACGAAAGGAAAGGAAGGAAGAAAAGAGAAGAGAAGGAAGGGAGGGAGGACAGAAGAGAAGGATAAAGGATAGAGAGAAGGAAGGAAAGACAAAAGAGAACGACAGAAGGAAGGAGAAAGTGGGAGAGAGGGAGGAAAGAGAAAAGAAAGGAAGGGAAAAGGGTGAAAGGATGGAAGGAAAAAGAGGGTGAGAGGGAAGGAGGGAAAGAAGTGGGAAGGAAAGAAAAGGGGAAGGAAGGAAGAAAAAGGGAGGAAGGAAGAAAAAGAGAGGGAAAGAAAGAAGGAAGATAGGAAGGAAGGAAGGGAGGGAGGGAAGGGGAGGATTAAGGATAGAGAGAAGAAAAGACAAAAGAGAAGGGTGGAAGGAAGGAGAGAGATGGAGAGAGGGAGGAAAGAGAGATGGAAGGAAGGACAAAAGGGTGGAAGGGAAGGATGGAAGGAAAAAGGGGGAGGAAGGGAGGGAGAAAGAGGAAGGAAAGAGAGAGGAAAGGACAAAAGGAAGGGAAGGAAGGGGGAAAGGAGGGATGGATGGATGGAAGAAGGGAAGGAAGGAAAGAGAGAAGAAGGAAGGACAAAAGTGGGAAAGGAGGAGAGAGGGAGAAGGAGGGAGGGAGGAAATGGAAGGAAGGAAAGACAAAAGGGAAGGAAGGAGAAAGAGGGAGAGAGAGAGGGAAGGAAGGACGAAAGGGTGGAAGGAAGGAGGGGGGAGAAAGAAGGATGGGAGATGAGGTGGAAGAAAAGAGAGGAAGGAAGGACCAGAGGGTAAAAGGGAAGGAGAAAGTGGGAGGGAAGGAGGAAGGAAAGAGAGAAGGAAGGAAGGACAGGATGGCAGAGAGAGGAGGCCTTGAGAACACAGCTCTAAATTTATGCAAAACAGAATTTATCTTGACCAGAGATATGTATGTATGTTTATGTATATGGATAGCTCTGTATGTAGGTGTATTCTGGGGTTGAATGCCATGGAAAACCACTGGATAGGTTTGAACACCTTGCAAATCTTTCAACGTTCAGACTAAAACCCAGAATTACTGAAACAGATGGATCAGCTAACATGGCTTATATACCAGGATGCAAAGGTTGAGCAAAAGGATGTTGGGAGACTACAAACCCCATAACTCCCACTTACTGGGGATGATGGGACTTGTAGTACAACTCCCCCTCAAAGCCTTACTAGGACGATCCAGTTGTTTCTAAGTATCCAGGCTTTTACA